GAATCCACTTGTCTTTTGAAGACATGAAATGGTTTAAGGATAACGACGTTCTTTGAATTCTTTGCAACGTTTCAGGGCTACTTCTTGACCCTTCATTCATGTTCTTCCAACTTCTATCAAACACTTGACTTGGCTTTTGTAGATTTGTAACCTAAAGTTTAGTAAAAAATTTTAAACCCTCCTTACCCATAGAGTGAGTGAGTGAGTGAGTATGATTTTACGCCGCTTTTAGCAATATTCCAGCAATATCACTGCGGGGGACACCAGAAATGGGCTTCACACATTGTACCCATGTCGGGAATCGAACCCGGGTCTTTGGCGTGACGAGCGAACGCCTTACCCATAGAAATATGAATGTATTTTTAATTAGGGTCAGTCTGGCATGTAGAACCACATCTCTATTTGTTAAGGTTGACTACAGTTCAAAAGACTGTTGCTTTGCTTGTATGAGTGACCCCTGGAGCCACCAGTAGCTGATAGCGATACTGTGTGAGCAGTGCTTGACTGTCCTCTACCTGTCCACCCGGCTGCACCCAGGGGTCACTGTCCCACTCAGGGTCTTGTCAACACTTGTGGGGGGGTCACCCTGTCACGTGACCTGAGGTCATGGATTGAGGTCACCCAGTACTCCACTATGTGTTCAGGTGTATGCTAAGTGAGATTTGGGAGATGTGATGATAACGCTATTGTCACAGAGATGGAGACAGTGTTGACGAAGCTGTTTATCTGTGACGAGAAACTGACATGTCAGCGAGAGTGATCAAAATAGGCGAGTTGATTTTGTAACATTATGAATGAGTTGAAAGGAGGTATCAGCGGGTTGGCAGTATTGGGGGTCAGACCCTAGGGGGCAGGGTCAAGGGCTCTGTGTCTGTGGGGGGCAGGTTGATCTGTGTGTATACACATGGATACAGGGTAGTGTGGACAGTCTGACTACTGATATACCACCCAGGGGTAGGCTGGCTGAGCTGGTGATTGACATAATGATATGATTACACCTGATAAACAATCAGCTGTCACCTCTGAAAAGTATGGGGTATTGTCATTGCTTCCTGTATTTCATTAATCAGGCCAACGGACCATGTTTATGCTGATAATGGTCATTGTAGCAAGGCTGATAAATGTATTCCAATTTTAGATGGATTGGCAAATGCATCAAGACAGAAAGTAAAGGTTATTGTCTGCAACAGTACATGTACAATGCCCTACTGACCTAACTTGTCTTGTAGCACATTTTAATTTGAATTTACTCCAACATAATTGATTTTCCCAGCTTTGTTTAATGGCGTGATAGACATTAAGACATAAAACACTGAAACAGAATCAGGCTTGTGGTAAAGGGCACAGACTTAAATAATTGGAAGTCCGAAAAATGGCAGTGTTATTCAAGAAGGTTTACTTTCAATATGAACTAAAGAATTTCCGACCATGCCTATGTATGATAGGGTAGCAGAATGGTTAAAGTGTTTACTCGTCTCTCAAAGGCCAGGATTTATGAAAGTTTTCAACATCTATGATGTGCAGGATCCGGTGGTCGTGGGTTGGAATCCTACATTGATCCCAGTTCTGACCTTTGGTTTATCAGACCTACCTCCTGTGGGTTCATCAAAGTTTTCAACATCTATGATGTGCAGGATCTGGTGGATGTGGGTTGGAATCCTACATTGATCCCAGTTCAGACCCTTGGTTTATCAGCCCTACCTTCTTTTGGTTCATCAAAGTTTTCAACATCTATGATGTGCAGGATCTGGTGGATGTGGGTTGGAATCCTACATTGATCCCAGTTCAGACCCTTGGTTTATCAGCCCTACCTTCTTTTGGTTCATCAAAGTTTTCAACATCTATGATGTGCAGGATCAGGTGGTCAAGGGTTGGAATCCTACATTGATCCCAGTTCTGACCTTTGGTTTATCAGCCCTACCTTCTGTGGGTTCATCAAAGTTTTCAACATCTATGATGTGCAGGATCTGGTGGTCGTGGACTACTACTAGGCCCAGACATTTATAATAACAATGATCTAACCAAGCCTCTTCAGCCTACTAATCTGGTACATAGACTCATCAACTACAAAATTGGGTCGGTGGAGTAGCCTAGTGGTAAAGATATTCGCTCATCATGCCGAAAGTCCTGGTTCAATTCCGCACGTTCGAAACCCATTTGTGATGTCCCCGATGACATTTGGCTAAAAGCGGCATAAAACCCAACTCACTCGCTCATAAACAAATGTAACAGAGTAGCTGTTGATAAGATCGGGTTATACACAGAGGGACATTTGTACGTGTAATGGGCAGTGCCGTGTGATGCTTATGATCGACTGGCCCCTCTGACCTGCAATCTCTCCACACACACATGATAAGAGGGCTTTGTTGCTTTGTCAACATAACCCTATGTGTATTTGTGTGTTGTGTCACAGCACATACAAAGCACAACATAAACCAGCTGTATGTGCCACCTCTCACCACAGTCTGTGAAGTGACAACAGTCAATATGTGGATAGACCCTGCCGTTGTGCTGACCATCGGGGCCTCGTCCCCACACACTAGGAACAAGGGAAGATAACGTTACCAAACAATGCATATGTGTACACTACTTACAATAGCAAACATGTCACATGCTGGAGGCTGACGTGGTGGATCGCAAAACTTGTTATCTCTGGGAAATGAAAGCAATATGCAGGATATGAAAGGGTTCTGTATATATGGGAATTGGTGGGAGGATGTTTGAACTCAACAAGTCTAGGAGCTCTGATGTTTTTGTGAAACAGTTTTATTACTTTTTTCGGAAATGACCAATAGTTTAGACAAACACATGGTATCATTGTATCTGGAAATAGGTTAAAGGCCCAGCTTCAGCCTGATTATGATTCTAGGTTTGTCAGCCCCATACTGGTGCTCATAGGTTTCAATGGAAATGGCCGGGTTATGGGTGGCTGAGTCATCTAAGGCACCAGATTAGCTTTAGTAGTGTGAATGAATCGGGTGTTCTTTAACTACTTTTGAGTAGTATATTGATACTTCAGGTTTTCGGTCAGAATGTAGTTGTATGAATGCGGCTTAGATATATAGTAACATTCATGGTTTTCCTTAAGTGAACAGGAAAATAAAATTTGTTTCAATGGGATAGTTTTGTACAACATGTGTGGGTGAGTGTCTGTATTTAATCACAGACTATCAAAGTGTCCTGAATGGATTGCAACTTGTGTGATGGCTCTTCTCCTACTGAGGTTACGTGACTTCAAAAGTATGTAATGGACTTTCACTTGTTTAGTGACAAACAACAATTAAACTCCCGTAATAGCTGCCAGACTTGGGCCTTTGTTCAACAGTCTGGTGGGTAGCAGGAGATTAAAGTCGGGTTACATTTCGGACTTACATGTCGGGCCATGAGGTGATTATGTCAGTACAAGTAGACTTAGAAACAAATGGGAGGCATGTTCACAGATAAATTGTATCCTGAAAAAAAGATCAAGTTGGTGGAAGCAGTGAAAATATTGTAATTTAGTACTAAAAGTGGCAGGACATGATCACCCTTTTCACAAACACCTGGTGTCACTGATTTTCAGTGATCCATTCGTACAATATTTTGCCTTTTACGCCCAATGGAATCTATTTCGTCAGAAAATCAAGACTAGTTACATTCTGGTGTTGAGGTCTTATGTTATTTTGGTTTCCTTAAACACTTCAAACTGCTTGATGTTTAGATTCTAATGAAAAGTTATCCATATTCTTTCATCAAGTATATTTAACACTGCCTGATGGTAAAAGGGGAAACAACTGTATTGCAAATATTCTCTCATCAAACTCGACCTTTGGGTTTAGAAGAAAAAGAAAAGTCAGGCTTGTTTAATATGAAAATTGATTTACTGTTTAAATGTCATTGGAAATGCCTCTCATGTCTGGCTTTAATATTGGGTCAGTGGGTTGAGGAACATGTGCTCCAGTAGTACAGTATAATGAAACACCTGGAGGACAAACAATCAACACAGGTTACTTCACTTTGTCATACTAGCAGCCTGACAACTGATCAATACAGGTGGATGAGAGGGGCGTCCCTCTGTTGGCCTCTTTACCATTGGGTCTTCAACATGGGTATTATGATATCCCACAATGGTCGCACAGAGTACTCGAGAAAGTTTATTATTGATTCAAAATGTCAGGGCTAAAGGTTATTGTATAGTGCAATTTAAATGGTAATTATGTGAATGATGCCTTGTGTTATAAGTTCAATCCCTTTGAATGATAGATTTTATGGTGCAGTATTGGGTGTTGTCCTATTGAGCTGTACATGCTGTAGTAGTATAATAGATTGAAGGCTGTCTCTTCTTAGTGAGCCAGTTAGATTGGAATAATCTATCATAGGTATGACAGTGCTGTGCTCAAAGCCCTTTTCACTTGTGACAATCAGAACTCCCAAACTGTAGCGGTAAGATCGCTCTGTGGATCATTGGCCTGGTACTTATGATTGCTGGACAAGAATTGCATTTTAGTTTTCTATGAGAAATACATAAATTAAAACTTAATTTAAATTTGTAAACTTTAATATTTAAAAAAATGATATTAACTCTTAAGTCAATGTTTATGCCATGTTGAGTGTTAGCATGCCCAAGATTACTAAGATTTCCCCCAACTGTGAAACTTCATCTCATCTCTTATTAAGGGATGGTTGGAGGTACCATGTGGTTAAAGCATCTGCTCATCATGTCAAAGGCCCGGGTTTGATTCCTTCCATGGTTACAATGTGTGAAGCCTATTTCTAGTGTCCCCCGACGTGACCTGAAAACTGACACTGTCACTGATACAAGAATGGAGTCGGTACACTGGAATATTTGGAAGGTAAAGGGACAACTAATGCAGTAGTAAAGGACAAGTCTTCTTTCATATTATTCACCTTGTTAGTTTCAGTACACCATATGTTGGACTTTATTCCCAGAAGTGTAGATCTAGCTCCAGGTTGGTCAATGCCACTAGCAGATCATTACTAACACATTCTTTGTTTTTCAGCATGGTCGTGTCACCCATGCTGTTATTGTGATTGCATACCCCTGGGGAGAACCGGCCCATGTCCATGTGATAGACCATCAGCTGTGTGAGAAGTACTGGGCGCAATGGTGTGTCCGACTTCACCAGTACTGGAACATTGTGGCCAGAGAAAAGGGTCTTCAGGCAAAACAGACGGTGTCAGCTGTATAAGGAGGGCTGGGTCCAATTGGCGTGGTCGACTACACTGGTACTGGAACTTTGTGGCCAGAGAAAAGGGTCTTCAGGCAAAACAGATGGTGTCAGCTGTATAAGGAGGGCTGGGTCCAATTGGCGTGGTCGACTACACCAGTACTGGAACTTTGTGGCCAGAGAGAAGGGTCTTCAGGTGAACCAAATGGTGTTGGCGGCTAGAGAAGTACTGGGCACAGTGGTGTGTCCGACTATGGTTAAGTGTACTGAGCCAGGCAACATGTGGTTGAATACACCAGTAGTGAATCATAGTAGCCTGAAAGAAGGGGCTGCAGACAAATTAGATGGTGTTTGCAGTGTAAAGTGTACTGGTCCAGGCTTCTGGTTTGGGCGACACCAGTATGAGACTTTGAGGAAGGAACAATTAGAATTGCCTCAGAAGGTAGCTCCAGTAGGTAATTCCTGACATTACAATTGTATTAGTCACTGAGAGTTGTTCGAGCTCCTTCCTCAAGACAAGCCTGGAAGACTGCCTGAACCTCTAGGGCTGAGAGACCAGCATTACCAAACCTTGACTCATGTTTGTAATGCTGTGTGATGGTGGTCTGTAGACACTGCAGCTTGACAAGACTTTCTCTTGGATCTGAAGGCAATGATGAAAACATAGTAAAGAATTTTACCCACACTTATAAAACGTATTCATGATTTATGCAGGTTTTTCATAGGTCATGACACAATGAGTGAACACGTATTATCTATCCTTCAGCGTCATGTCCACTTCCGTCATTATGACTTACATGGTGCTTCTTACTTTAGTGGCAGCTGGGCATTGTTAACGGACACACAGGGTATCAATGAGGCATTAACATTTTACTTTAGAGTTCTACAGGACCCTGTAGACCAAGGACAGATATTAAATTGATACTGTTTATGGTCTCACATGCCTAACCTGGTATTATTAGTGAGTGACTTAAGTTCAAGGCTGCTTAAATAATATTCATTTATGCCATTGTATGTCACTTTAATGCAGGATTTACATATTTGATGAATTCCACATGCATCCACAAAAATCATAAATGGGCTGAACATGAAATTTGGTCCCCCAGTCAGTGGATTTTAGCACAGATCAAATTGAAGAGCTTTAGATTAGTGTTCCCTGATCAGTGTTTAAGGTGTTATTGTTGTTGATTGTTGTTGATTGTTGTTGAGGTGTTGATTGTTGTTTAACGCCACACACAGCAATATTCTAGCGGCAGTCTGTAAATAATCAAGTCTGGACCAGACAATCCAGTCATTGACATCATGAGCATCGATCCACGCAATTGGGATATGATGATGTGCATCAACCAAGTCAGCGAGCCTGACCACCCAATTCCGTTAGTTGCCTTTTACGACAAGCATAGGCGCCTTTTACAGCAAGCATGGCTGCTGAAGACCTATTCTACCGGATCTTGATGGGTGCCCTGTTGAAAGTGTTGGTTTCAGTTCCTTTGTTTCCTCTCTCTGCTGACTGAACTGTTATCAGTTGAATCCTTGTCTGCATTCAGCAATATTCTAGCTATATCATGGCAGTCTGTAAATAATCTGGACCAGCATGTGATTGATATTATGAACATCACCTCACATAGTCATGATAGGATGACACAGAATCGTCCAAGTCACTGAGCCTGACCACTTGATCCATTTAGTTGACAAGCATAAGTGCTGAGGAACTATTCTAAACCAGAATATTTCCACACCAAAGCAGTGAAGCTACATCATTACTGGAATCTTAACTGCCTCAGGAAACGACAAGCCGTGTGACAGAGAATCCCATTATGTAGATATAATCAGGGTACAGCAGGCCCAGTGGTCGAAGGTACAGCAGTTCAGTGACTTCTGCTGGTCCTGGGTTCAAATCCAAGATTCATTCCAATAATTCGGTGATATGATTGAAATCTGTTCAAAACAGCACTAAGCCAACATCACCGACTCTCAAGCTATAATCCACAAATATGTCTTCATATTTCACAATTTGATAAATGACATCCAAAATTAAATTTGTAATCCTTCATCAGCCCAAGTGCCACTATGTCTCTGATGGATGCAGAATGTATGAACGTTGACACCATTGTCACAATGACAAATAGTGGGTGTTTGGGGTTTGTTTTATTTCAATATGCACATTAACACAAAGATAAAAAGGTTTAATTTATTGCTGTGGCAATGTCTTAAAATTGACACTTTGTGTGTGTACTTCATATCCGCAGGAGAATCCATTCATAGAGTAAACCTTATGACTCTAAAATGGAAGTCAAAAATCAATAAACATGTCATGTTTACATGGGCCAATCAATCTCTGTCAAACATTGTCTTGTTAGAGTCATGTATGTGTCTGTTAGATTGATGAAGATAAATCTATTCCCATGTTTTCTTCAGCTGCTGATGGATCCTGTGCAATGCCATATAAAGTACAAACTGATCGAGTAGCAGGTCGTCAGCCGCCCTTGCCTTGAGTGTTGTTTACAGTTTAATCTGTGAAGTCCACACCTCTTCCCTGTGCTACAAACATTGTTGTATTTATGACATTGCATTTTATTATTCATGAATAAAAGATCAGCCTAAAATTTACGTTCGTTTTGTGTTTTTGTTTTGTTATGCACGAACAGTGAAAGTAGGTCAAAATCTGTTTACATGTAGGTACACCTCAATTATGAGAGAGGGGGCACAGGTGGCCCCGTCATCTAAGGTGCTGCGATTCGCTGTGCAGAGTTGCATCCCTTGGGCACGCTAGAAACCTATGATTGTGGGTTCGAATCCAGGCTCACCCCCATTATGTTTCTAGGTTTGTCAGCACCATACCCATGCCTGTGGGTTTCACTGAAGTGTTAAACGTCTAAGACCTGCATCACTTCAGGCTTTCCCCCACATTAAGCTGACATGCTGTGATAAAACTGGAGTTCTGTTAAAAGCGGCATTAAACCCAACTCACTCACTCACTCACTCACTCAAATATGAGAGCTTGGCTAGATTGGGATCATTGTTTCAGGTGGCCAATAGGACCGTTGCACTTCATAAAAATCCCCACAGAATGTGTGCAACAACTTCCAAACAACAGTAGATTTTCTCTTCGTTTTTTCTGAAATGTTATACCAATTTCTGTCCTTTTTTCTGTCAAGGTGAACAGGAGACTGATGTTTCAAATATTCCAGTAGCCAATTCGACGCCTTGATTGTAAAGTGTCCAGAGGGTATGGGTGGTAGTGTTTTCTCAGGTGCCACAATTCGCTGTGCAGAGTTGCATACTCTCTACAAGAAAGTAAAATAGCTGTGTCATACCAAAAAGACACAGTTAAACTTCCTGACATTTGACATTAAGGGGAAAAACAAGGACTGGCCCACTCATAGTTAGCATAATGCATCTGAGTTGGGTACCCATGTTGAACTTTGGTATAGTATGAGGTGTGGCTGAAAAGTTTTGAGGCAAACTGTGAATGATGTATGGTCCATAGTTTGCAGTTTGCATGTATTAAGTACAATACTTTCTGAATTAAACCAAGTGTACACCCAGACAGCATATCTCTTCAGGCATCAAAGCGACTGGGTATTTTCTGTTGATGAAAATAGACAAATTGGTTGTTGACTTTAATGTTGTTGATTGTTGGTTTGTTGTTTAGTGCCGCGCTCAGCGATATTCCAGCTATACGACGGAGGTCTGTAAATAATCGAGTCTGGACCAGAGAATCCAGTGATTGACATCATGAGCATTGATCCACGCAATTGGGATGCGATGAGATGTATCAACCAAGTCAGTGGGTCTGACCACCTGATCCCGAATCCGTAAGTCGCCTCTTACGACAAGCATAGTCGCCTTTTACGGCAAGCATGGGTTGCTGAAGACCTATTCTACCCCGAATCTTCACAGGTCTGTTGACTTTAGGGGATGATGTGCCTTTGTGGGCAGCTGGGTTCAAGAGGGGAGGAGAGGGCCTCGAATATGATCCAAGATTAGGAAGACTTCAACTGCCAGCATTTAGGAAACATTGATAACATACATGATATGATTAGGGACTCGCCAAGAAATGCAAATAGCATTAGAGTAGGCATTTCTCATGAGAGAATTGACGTTCTGGGCAATGAACTGAGCATGACAAAGGTGTCAACGTACTAGGTTTCAAGGCTTCAGACTTCTCAGAAAGAATCCAGGTTCATCATCGCCAGTGAGAATATTTACGTCTTCTTAAAGCAGACCAAGCTGATTTTGTTTAGCGATTTGTGACCATGGATGAGTCTTGGGTTCACCACCATCAGCCAGAGACTAACAACAGTCATCAACAGTCAGTGGAAACATCTAACGTCTCCGACGAAGAATGCAACATCTGCTCCATCAGCTTGCAAGATGATTGCTTCGGTTTTCTGGGATTCCAAAGGAATCCTGCTTGTGGACTACCTAAAGAAAGGTAAGATCATTAATGGCCAATATTATGCTAATCCACCGAGGAAACTGCGTGATAATATCAAAGCAAAACGTCATGGATAACACGTGCTCAATCTGCTGTCGCCATGGCCATCATTATGCATGACTGGCTTTGAAGTCATTGAACATCTGTATTCACCAAATTTGGCACCGTCATATGTACACCTTCCACGATTTGGGGAAAAGAGCTGTTTGGCAATCATTATACCCGCGATAATGAAGTCATTTCTGCTGTGGAGGACTTTTTGCATCACAAGGAGGAAGCAGTACACACCAGTTGGACCCGGCACTCCAGCATGGTTGAGATCAATGTGTGGACCACGGAGTGGATCATGCTAAAAACTAATTAACAACCAAGTCCATAAACGCAGTCCCTTTTATAGTTAGGCTCAGAACTTTTTAGCCATCTCTCCTATCTCAGTGGGGGCGTTGGGGTAGCCTAGTGGTTAAAGCGTTCCCCCGTCAGGCCGAAGATCCGGGTTCGATTCCCCACTTGGTTACAATGTGTGAAGCCCATTTCTGGTGTCCCTCGTCGTGATGTTGTTGGAATATTGCTAAAGGTGGCGTCAAACTATACTCGCTCACTCACTCGTAACTCAGTGGGCTAGCACTATAAAACCATCATAACTATTTCAAGCAGACACACCCATACGCGTGTATTCACGTGGCTATATAAGTGCATTAATCTCGAACGCGATGTTAAACCCCATTTCCCTTCACCTCATCTCATCTGACTTCTGATGAGCCATGTGTTTATTGGTCCCTTGCTTATAACTACGTCATGAATCTATGATCATATAGCTCTATAAGCAATACCCCTACATTCCGTTAGGACTCCAGGGCAGAACTAGTACAAGGTAACTATATTGGATGGTGAGGCCAGACACGTGGCCAGACACGTGGCTGATTGTGTGCCATCATTATCGAATGACAGGATTTATGTTCCAATCAAAGGCTTGCTTGGTCCAACTGGATTATTTACAGACAGCAGTTATTTATCTGGAATACTGCGGACTAGCAGTTGAACAACATTCACTCACTGACTCAAATATTCAGGAATGCACAATATATACTACTCAAAAGAAGTTAAAGAACACCAATTCTTTTACGACAGATTGACTGGTAATATTTTAAAAATCGGGTGTTCTTTTTCTTCTTTTGAGTAGTATACAATAAAATATGTGGTTAAGTGTTTTACACAGTAGTACACCGCCTTCATAAAGGCCCTCTGCAATTTGCTGTGCAGAGCTGCGTCCCTTAGGCATGAAACCCATGATGGCGTGGCTTCGAAAATTGATTCGCCCTGAATATGTTTCTCTGTTTGTCAGCAGGGTAACGTGGGTGTCACAACACTGGCTAACATCTCGGACTCAAATCACTTCGGGCTTTTCTTTCACATCGAGCTGGCACCCCATGACCTAGCTGAAACAATGTTTAAAGTGGCGTTAAACCAAACACACTCCCTCATCACATGTCCTTTAAATAAACGATTCTTGGTCAGGCAAACCAATGGTTGATAGCATGGACAACAAATCACTATCAGCCGGGTAACACATTGTGGCCAACTGTTCCACATTTCAGTCATCTTTGGGGCGGCGGGGTAGCCTTGTGGTTAAAACGTTCGCACGTCACGCCGAGGACCAATGGGTACAATGTGTGAAGACCCGTAAAGGTCCAGGGTAGAATGGATATAAAATATGCAACGTATCCATGAATAATGTGGCTTATATTGATGTCGTCAGGCTACAATTGCCATGATATTATTATGTGTCATTTAACGCCACGGTCAGCAATATTCCATCTGTATCACAAGAGGCCTGTAAATAATCGAGTCT